ATTATTTTGATTTGCATTTCACTGATCACTAGTGAGACTTTACCTCTATCATGGAATGGTGCTGTAGGATAGACACTAGACTGGTAACCGCAAGGTTGACAGTTCAAACCTACCAGCTGCTCTCAAAAACCCTACATAGGATCGCTGTGAGTAGGAACAAACTCGACAGCACAGAACACTTAATGTTCATTTTTAATTATTTCATTTGTAAATTTCCTGGTCATAACCTCCTCTGGTTTCATACTGGAGTATTTGTCTTTTTTTATATTGTTGTTGTTAGGTGCCATGGAATCAGTTCCGACTCATAGCGACCCTGTACAGGGTTTCCAAGGCTGTAAATCTTTACGGGAGCAGAAAACCTCGAACTTGAAAAACATTGTTGTGAATGACAGAAAAGTTAACACTTGTCTGTTCTTTATGTTGAATGTATTTTTCCAATATATGGCTTAACTTTCATTCTTGTTTATAATTTATTTGTCTTTTTTCATGCCAACTAGAAGATTTAATTTTTTTATGTAGTCAAAATTACCAATTCTTTCTTATGATAGCTGGCTTTTGTGCCAGGTTTACAATGATTTGTCTCACCACAACTGCTCTTTTAAATTTTTCATTTTCATTTTTTTTTTTTTGTAGCATTATCACTTCTATTTTCAAGTGTTTATTTTTTATTCTTCAAGAATTATGTTGTAGTGATGTAGAGAGGCAATTTTCCCATGAAAATAGCTAGTCAGTGATCTCAATACGGTGCATTAAATAGAGCAATTGACTTGTTATGCTACCTTTATCATATACTAAAATTCCTTCCTGTCTTTTTTTCTGTATCTACTCTCTCGCACTGATTAACTTTTGCCGATACCAGCCCCAGACTATTTAGAGCTGGTGGTGCTTATGTGCTATGGAGTAGGCTCCAACTCCTAGAACTCCTAGCAACCCTGCATAGGGTTTCTGAGGCTATAAATCTTTATGGGAGCAGAAAGCCTCATCTTTCTCCTGCAGAACCACCGGTAATTTCGAACTGCTGACCCTGACGTTAGCAGCCCGACTACTATTTAGAGTAGTATGGCTTTATATTTAAGAATCTGCTAGAGAAAGATTTCCCTTTCAGTTTTTCTGATGTGTGATTTCCCTAGTTAATCCCATATACTTATATTTGTATGAAAACACTTTGAACATTTAAGATATAATACTCTAATGTCATGCATTACAGTTTACAAAGCACTTTTCAACATATTATCTAATATTTATCTTGGGAGCACAATGGTTCCGAAGGACAAGCACTAGACTGCAAACTACAGGTCGGCAGTTTGAGTCCACCAGCCGCTCCTTGTGAGAAAGATGAGGCTTTCTGCTCCCACAGAGATTTACAGGCTTAGAAACCCTATACAAGGCACTATAAGTCAGAGCCAATTCACAATTAGCACTTAGCAACAGCAACAATCTTTATCTTACAACTGTGATATGAATTAATGGATCATTTTTATGGACAAGGCTGTGAGATTAAGAAACTTGTCAAAGTCCATTCAACCAGACAGTAGTAGTGTCCTGACTCTCAGTAGAATGTTTACCAGTTCTCCATGGTAAAAAAAGCATCATCATTCTCCTTGTCACACAGACAAAGTGATGATACTGAAGAGCATAATAGGCTTATAAAGATACAGGTCTAGTCCCAGAATCTTCTACTACATTAAACAATTTATATTCTATGTTTATTCATTAGTAAAGTTAAATCATTGGACTAGATGAGTTTTTTAAAGTATGTGTTAACTTAAAATGGATTCTGTAAGTTTGTGATTCTTGTGTGAGATTTCCATGGCATTCATTCACTTGTTTTACTTAGCCTGCCTCTTAGGCCATTGCTTGCCTGTGCTCTTTACAGACATATTTTGCTCTGCCCATTCATCAAAGGCTAAAATGCCACAAAACTTTAGCCTACACCCTCTTCTTCTCACACTACATTCTCTCAAGAAGATGTAATACATTCTCATTACTTCAACTACCAACTATCACCAATGATTCACTGTATCTCTAAACCAGCCTCTGCTGCATTTTGCACGTGCTTGTCCACTGTCAGCTTTATATTTCTACTTGGCTATTTCATAAACATCTTAAACACATTATGTTCTAAAATCAAACTCACAATCTCCCCCACAATCTTAGCCTTCTTCAGTAATTCCTATCCACATTAATGACAACACCTTTTATCCAGTTATCCAAATCAAAAATCTAGAATTTTTGCTTTCTAATGTTCCAAATAGCCAATCCATAATCAAGTTCTGCAGATTTTATTCATTATATTCCCTTAGGAGTCCTGATGCAGCACTGCATGATAATGCACTGGACCACAAGGTCAACTTGAACCACAATATCAGCGGTTCAAACTCACCAGCGACTCCCTGGAAACCCTACATAGAGTTGCTATGAGTTGTAATCGGCTCCTCGGCACTTAGCAACAACATTTCCCTTCAATTCATTCATTTCTCTATATAAATGCCATCACCATGTCTACCCAGGTAACTTTGAAATACTAAAACAGCATTATAATTCATCTTTCCATTTTAATTATTTTTCCCTAATATTGACTATTTTCATGTAGCAAGAGAGATTGTTCTCAAATTGTAAATCTGTTTAAAAATCTGTTTAGTGGATTCCTATTATTTACATTAAGGTTTAAATGCTTCAAACACCAACAAGATCTGAATGTTCTAGCCTTTCTACCACCCTAGTCTCCTGGATTTCCATGCCACTGTTGCACTGGCCTTCTTTCATTCATTCAACATGTTCCTTCCCACTGCAGGTCTTTGTATGTGCTGTGCCCTCCATCTTTGAGGCTCTTTCCTTCCTCTTCATGAACTAAATCCAATTCTTTTTGAAGATCACAGCTTAATAAACACTTCCTCTGAAAAGATAGGCTGACCTCATTGGCTGGTTTAAATTAATCTACTATATTGTTGTATATATCATAGTTATAATTTGTGGGAGATTACTGGATTAGTCCCTGTCTCTTCCCCCTTAGATATAAGTTCTATGATGACAAGAGCTAAGGCTGCTTTTAGTCACCATTGTATCCTAGTACTTGCTAGAAAGGGTGTATCACACAAGAAGTGCTCCAAAATTGATGAGTGAATAAATAAAGAAGCCATTTAGAAATATTGAAAATACCTGTTAGCAATGTACATGTACCAAAACTATGAGTGTGTTCTAAATGACTAGGTCTTTCTAAATAAAGTAAGAGATTTCCATCAGGATGTGATTAATCATTAAAATTCCCCATTAGTGTCAGAAATAATAGTACAGTAGGTATCTGCAATACTGAACAATATAAGATGACCTCCAAAATGGTGTTTTACATCCCAAGGAGAACCAATAATTCATTGGCATAATAGAAAAAAATTCTCAGATGCCATTTTACATGTGTTATCATTTGGGCCAGGGGGTAGGGTGGAGGTGAGGGATATAGAGAAAAGAATGAAATAAAGAAAGAAGGAAGAAAGAAAAGGAGGAAGGGAGAGAGAGAGAGGGAGGAAGGGAAGGAATTTAGCTTTATGACTATTTAAGAAATGGATTGGCACTGACATCCTTGTTTAGTTTTTATGGAAGATGGTCATGGACAAGTGCATGGTGATATCCTGAGGGAAAAGAAGGAAGTCAATAATATAGGGCTGATCAGAGCTTCAGCACAACTTCACCTGCTCTCAATATATTTCAATAATAGTTCCTTTACAAGTAGATTTAAAGATCATATTATCTAGTTCTAAAAGTAAAAGTGGTGTTGTTGTTAAGTGCTATTGAGTCAGTTCTGCCTCATAGTGACTCTGTAAAGGGCTTCCCAGGAGCGGCTGGTGAACTTGAACCACCGACGTTCGTTGCAAACCAGCAAACCCACAGCACCACACCAGGAATCCCAAAAGTAAAATAAGCCTCCTCAAATCAGAAAATAGACCCAGAATGCTTTTTTTTAATTTATAAAAACATGCCTACAATTTGAAGATAACACTAACATGAAGACTTAGTAATGAACCAGTAAATGAAGTTAAGATCATGTCAGAATTGGCACCACTCTGACCCCTGATTAGAGCTCTTTTATCAGTCAATTGTGTGCAAGTTGTTAAGTTGCCCTGGAGTTGGTTTTAACTCATAACAACTTTATACAGGGTTTCCTAGGAGCGACTGGTGGGTTTGAACCACTGACCCCAATGTTAGCACTCTAGTGCTTATCCTACAGCACCACACCAAAACCCCTGGGGTATGTTGTTGTTGTTGTTAAGTGCTGTCAAAATCTGTTCTGACCCATAGTGCCCCTCTGTATGGTTTCTGAGGAGTGACTGGTGAGCTTTAATCACCAATGTTGCAGTTCAAACTGACTATGCACTCCAGCACATTAACCCACACCACCACACTAGGACTCCTGCGGTATATTTTGTTGTTGCTGTTAAGTGCCATCGAGTCGATTCCAACTCATAGCAACCCTATATTGGGTTTTCGAGGAGCACTTGGTGAGTTTGAACCACTGCACTTGTGGTTCAAACCAACCTTGCAATCTAGGGCATTAACCCGTAGTGCCACATTGTATTCTGATTTCATGCAGCCAAAAGATCATTGCTAGGAGGGAAAAGGGAGAGTAACAGGGCTCACACAATTTAAGTTGTCGCAGTAGATTCCCCTAGTGTTAACTTTGCTCATGCCACAACCCTTATAGGAAAATCACTGAATAGCAACATGGTTCTCATTGAGTAAAATATTTGAAATGTTTAATATGGCATCTAGTGAAGAAGCATCTTGTTATTATATTTGAGTAACAAATGAAGAAATAGGCACTGCATTGAAATGCTTCATAACCTACCTAAGTCAATTCCATATGTAATTGTGAAGGAACTGAATGAACGGAACTTAAAACTCAAGTATTAGCCACAAGTCCCATGTTGCAAGATTAAGAGGAAGGAGAAAGAGAACATATTATAATTACAGAAAGCCATTTTTAAAATCTCTGTTTCTTTCAACAGATTCGTAAAACATTCAAAGAATCAAATTTAAGAAACCAGTTCATCAGAGCTCATGTTACAAAACTCAGGTGAGTAGAATTATTATCAAAAATATAAAGATATGTAAGCATATAACAACTGCCCTGAAATGGATCACATTAGAAGGTCCCAGATAGAGTGAAAACAATGTGGAACAAACCTCAAAATTATTTTTAAAATAACCCTCAATTTGCTGGTTAGAAAGAGACTTCAGGAACCTGAGACTGTGGCATTCATCTACTCTTCAGGTTTGGAAAAGAACTAACCCTTGTGGCCTAATTTTCAACCAAGCAGTCGATAGGTATATAGGGGGGACAATACCACCTGTAACATATGCTCACCATGGTACACTCAAAATAAAAGGGCAACATTTACCTAAAGACCAAGTTGAGAAAGGATGGGACAGTGAGTGGAATGGAAATAGGAAGCATGAAAGGGATTGGAATCATTGAGATGAAACAAAGTGTACAACTTGTTGAAGGTAAAACTGATGATCTTGTCTGTAAATCTTCACTCAATTCACAATAAAAGGTATATATATATATAT